CTTCTGGGAAACCCTAGCCCCAGGTGTGTGTGTGTGTGTGTGTGTGTGTGTGTGTGTTGCTTCTGCATGGGCCCAGTGAGGTCTGCTGTGTGGGGTACGGGCCTCAGTCATTGGGCAGGGCTTCCAGCTGCCTTTAGGGCAAGGGTGGGGGACCTCTGCGTGCAGGCCATAGAAGGCTGGCAAAACCATCCATCCCAGCTAACATCCCACGCCTCACCAGAAAGAAGCCATTCTGGCCACCACATTAAATATAGCAGGCTCATTTTTACGGTGATTATTTTATATGGCCCAGGAATGATGTGCCAAATATCCAAATACCAGGGAAGAGGCTCCCTACCCTGCCTTGGGGTGTGGGTGAGACCAAGAGATGCTAGCAGGTGAGTGTGCGGGCACAAGTGCCCATGCTTTGGGAGTTGGGGACCTCACCTGCTGGCAGACAGCCCTGCCGCCCTGTTCCTAGCCCCAGCCTGCCCAGGAGCCTCCAAACCATGACCACGGAGTGAGGTCAGAGTGACCCCAACCCATCCAACCTTCCAGGAAGGGTCCACCCATCAGATGACCACCCAGCTCTGTGACTCCCACCACCCAGGCCAGACCGCCTGCCCAGTAGCAATGGCAGGCTGGGAATGGCCAGTGGACCTGGTGGGAAGGTCAAGGTTGCTGCCATCCCAACAGGGGCCTCCCCAGCCTGCGCAGTCAGCACCAAGCTTCCAACTCACCTGGGCTAAGCACGCCCGAAGCATTGTGGACCAGGGGCTGCCATCCCTCCCTGGGGAAACCTGCTGCGTTCTCTTCCTTCGCACCTGTGGGAAGAAAGGAGGCTGGGCAGCTCTGTGCACCCCAGGGGAAAGCTCAGCCCACGCTAAGTTTTGTGCCCAACGAGTCCAGGGCAGGCCTGGAACCAGGCAGGTCCCCCAGGCCAGACACTCCCAGCAGCCCCTCTCCCCAGCCCCACCCTTCACACTAGCTTCCAGGCCAAGTTCCTGGTGGACGGAGCCAAGGGTCTCCACCCCCTCCCCCTGTGCAGACGTAAGAGGGGACACATCTCACCAGGGCAGGGGGGCAGGTCACAGGCCCGGGACTCGGTGGCAGTGCAGGCATAGCCACAGGGCCGGGTCCTCCGCTGGCTGCCATTGCCACAGCTCCCATTGCAGGGAGACCAGGGGCTCCACTCCTCGGGAGATTCATAGTCTGGGTGGGAGCAGGGAGCCGGGGGTGAGTGAGCACAACCCACAGGGCATCTGTGCCAATTAAAAGGGAGGACACGGCCGGTGCCACCATGTCCAGCCTAGGGAGTCATGGCTGGAAGGCAGCCCCCACCGCCCAACTGGGTCCCTCTATGCAGCAGACAATGTGTGCAGATGTGTTCCAGGGGGTGGCAGTAGCCCCAGCCACCAGCTCCGTGCCAACACTGCAGTGAGGAGGAGACGGTTCTGAGGCTGGGACCCAGCAAGGTCCAAGTGTGGCCTGACCACTGTCGGGCAGATGCTGGGCCCCGACTTCTCTGAGCTGTAGTTTTTCATGCTAATCAAGACCAAGGCTGGCCAGGCCTCCCGGGTGCTGGAGGAGTTAGGGAACGGCCCTGCTGCCCACGTGAGGGACCTGACACCCTCAGTGCTCGCTGGGTCCCCTCAGAAACTCCAACAGCCGGTTCCCTCCTTGCCTCCTGGTGGGTGGCCCGAGCAGGCCAGCACCGAGAGTTTAAGTGTTCTCCAGTAAATACTGGACTGCTAACTGCAAAGTCAGCGGTTCAGAGCCCCCGCTGATCCTCAGGAGAGAGTTTGAGGCTGTCTGCTTCCATCAAGATTTGCAGCCTCGGAAACTTCACGGAGGGTCTGTGCGTCAGAACTGCCTCTGTGCCAGGGGGTTTGGTTTCTGGTGATGGGGGGAAAGCTCGGTGTCCTGAAAAGTGTGTTAGTTGGTTTTTGTTTTCCCTTCCCAGGGTGCGTGTGGCAAAGCCCCCCTGACTTGATCTTAAGTACAGACCCCGTAGGCCGAGGAGGAGGCTCCAGGCAAACACATGGCTGTCACAGTGCACGAAGCAGGTATGCGTGACACATGTATGCTGCCACGTGCATGAAACCCAGAGGAAACCGGAACCACAACACGTGACACTAAAACCAGCCCCCCTCGGGGGCTGGCAGGCTTGGGGTGATCGCCTCTGTGCGTCCCGGTGCTGTTTCTGAAGCCCGGGTTCAGAAACTACGTCCACTGTGTGCCCCTGCACTCTATGTCTGAACTCACTAAACTTGCCCCACCCCCATCCCCCATCACAGAAGCAGGAGCTGACCCACAGAGAGGTAAGTGACTTGCCCAAGGTCACAAAGGACGCCAGGAAGCGGCAGAGCCAGGATTCCAACCCACAGAGCCTGGAAGCAGGGATATCATTTGTAGCTCTCCGCCCGTTAGAGAGTAGGAGGTGTGAGACCTCTGCCCGGATCACGGGCTCAGAGGGTTCCAAGGACAGATTTTGCCCGCTCGGGGTATGGCTTCGATTTTGATGAGGATGAGGATGTTGGCACAGAGCCCCAGCCACCCGCTTCCTTCCCCAGCTGCCCCTCCCGGGAAAACCCTCAACTGGACCCCATCCCATTTCAACTCCGGATCTCAAGAGGCAGCGGCCCGGGATGCCAACATGGGGGCGCTCACCATAGCTGTCCGTCTCCTTGAAGGCCCAGTCCCCGGGGCCCAGCCAGCCCTGGTGCCAGTCGCCTGTGGCCCCACTGAACCCAGGCCCGTCCTCATCTTTGTCTTCTTCCTCTTCGCTGCCCTCCTGGTCCTCGCCCTCGCTGTATTCTGCAGGGTAGTCCTCCGTTTCCTCCTCTCCGTCCTCCTCCAGGGCTCTGCCCTCCTCGCCCTCCAAGTGGCCCCAGAAGAGGGGCCAGAAGATCTCCTTGGCAGGAAGCCAGCTGGGGGCGCCCTGGGCCCAGCGGGTGCTGGACTCTGCTCGCAGGTCCATCTCAACCTCAGCCTGCGGGTCCTCCACCACCTCGATGGTCACCTGCAAGGGCAGGCACGGGGCTGCAGTGAGGACGGGCACAGAGTCAGACTCCAGAGACGGGGTCGGGCAGCAGCAGGGACCTGTTGTCCTGGCCTGCCAGGCCCCACCCCAGATAGGACTGAACTGGCCTGGATGGGGCTGGGCACACTGGTTTAACACATAGCCAGGGGTTGCAGAAGGCACACGGGAGTGGGGAGAATTGGGTGTGGAACCCGGGCCCATCCGATGGGGGGTGCCTGGCTTCGGGGGCGCTCAGAGGAGCCACCCTGAGTCTCCGTCTTGTCATCTGAGAACGAACATGAGAGCGTGGGGGCCTCGAATGGCCAGGGCTTCCCTGGGTGCTGTGCTCCTTGGCTGCATTTATAGACCGAAAATTACATCCAATCATTGATGTGAAGGCGAGCTGCAAAAACTCTTATTGGGGCTACGGTAACGTCATAGAAGCCATTGCACTGAATGTGGAAAACAGAAATATGAAAATCACCTAAACTTCCATCCCTGACAGCATCTGGATGGTCAATCTTCCAGAGAGAGAGAGAGAGTGTGTGTACACAGAGCAGTTCGACTGTTCTCACTGCCATCAGGTCAGTAGCAACACTACAGGACAGCCTATGTCCCTGTGGCTGTCCAAGGCTACCCATCTTTATGGGAGCAGAGAACCTCACATTCTCCAATGGAGTGGCTGGGGAGTTTGAACTGCTAACCTTGTGGTTAGGAGCCCAACGACACCACTGGGCTCAGTACTGCTAATCCACTGCTCCACCAGGGACCCTTCCTCTGTCCTGAAGCCACTGGAGGTCAGACTCAACTCAATGACAGTGGGATACACAAATGTACATTGTCACATCTGTGTACAGGAATATATTCATGTACCTATACACACACATGTTCACATACATGTATATACAAATTCATGTACCTACACACACATACACACATTCACATGCATGTATATACAGATTCACGTACCTATATACACACGTTCACATGCATGTATATACAGATTCATGTACCTATACACACATATACACATTCACATGCATGTATATACAGATTCACATACCTATACACACGCACACGTTCACATGCATGTATATACAGATTCACGTACCTATACACACATACACACATTCATATGCATGTATATACAGATTCATGTACCTATACACATGCACACGTTCACATGCATGTATATACAGATTCATGTACCTACACACACATACACACAGATCTGAGGCTTTTCCAGGTTCCCAGACCTCCGGCGGCTCAAGGCAGCGCTGCAGGTGGGTGCTAGTGCGGCCCCCTCCCCCGCCCCCATTCCCGCGCGCCACAGTCCAAGAAGCAAAGAGAAGCCCAGTGCTGTGCCAGCAGTCCCCCAGGGAGGGCACAGAGACAAGTCCTCCCGGAACACAGCCCACTCAACCCGCCTCTCCCAGGTACCCTTCCGTGGCTCTCACCTGGATGTTGGGGTTCGGGGCACTCAAGTCTGTGTTGGCCAATCCCGGCAGCTTCTGCAGCTCCAGCAGTAAGGAGGTGCCCTCCAGGGCCCGCAGAGGAGTGACCTCGCCTGGGGCTTGGGATGCTGGCTCAGTGGGGACCTGGTGCCCATGTTGGGGAGACCCTGCCTGGAGGTCAGCTTGGGGGGGCAGCGGGGTCTCCTTCTCTTTCTTGGGAGGCCCGGGATCTGGGGAGGCCAATACCTGAGGGAAGGGGAGCAGAAATGAGGGGTGACTGAGGTCTGAGCTTACCCTGTGTGGACCCCAAAAAGGTGGGGTGCTTGGGGCTTTCTGATGCGGCTCACAAACTCACCCTGGGCCTTCAGCCCCTGCGGGCCTGGCACCAGCACTGGTTCAGCACCTCAGAACTGGCGCGGCCAGCCGTGTCCTGCATCCACCGCGCTTGGACACAGGATGCCGCAGGAGGTAGACATAGGAGGTGTAAACCTAGATTTCTTCACAGAGAAGAAGCCCTACAATGCTCTCATTGGACAGGTGCGGAAACAGGCTGGAGCCGGGCAGGGCGCTTTGAGTTGTTGAAGGGTGTGCTTCCAAATTGCCGGGGTGCAGACCACCTGCCTGAGCATTCACGGGGCCCTCATGAGCCAGGGCAGAAAGCAGGTGAGGATCTCCTGCCAGCTGGCCCTGCCCAAGCTGCCAGCCCCACTGTACAGAAGCTGAACGTCAGGACCAGAGAGACCAAGTAACTGGCCTCGGGGCCCACAGTAGGTGGAAGAGCCAAATCTGAACCAGGCGGCTGGGCCAGAGCCCAAGCTCAAACCATCCTGTGACAAGCTCCAGCCAGCCGAGGCCAAGTGCCCGTCACAAACGGGGCTTACTCAGGCTAGTGCCACTCCCACCCTCTCCTCTCCCAAGGCTGGAACAGAGATAGCGAATCCCCTGCCCCCAGATGGCTGGCTCCAAGGCTCCTGACAAAGCCTCCCCCGGGCCGCTGCCCATGGCTGAGTCAAATGCCCCGGGCTGGGTGGCAGGTGAGTAAGGGAGAGGCTCACCCTCCTGAACAACTCAACCCAAAGGCCTCGGGGCTCCCACCCGGTTCCACCGAGGGCCTGTCTGGCTCAGAGACTCGCTTCGATGTGGCTGCACTCTGCCGACACCCCTGGGCACAGAGACAGCAGCACCTGCAGGCACCTGGGTCTTGGGCCTTTCTGGCTGACCTGGGCGGCAGCGCCTTATGGAGACTGGGTGTGCCTCTGGCTAGGGTGCAGGGGTCCACAGTGGTCCCAGAGCAGTGTCCTCACCTGGGGACGCCTGGCAGAGTCTGGAGACATCTGGACTCCAGGACTGGAAGTGATTAGTGGTGGGGTATGTGTGTGGGGGTGGGGGTGGGGGTGTTACTGTCATCTAGTAGGTATCTAGTAGCGATGCTGTCTGACCCCTTCACCTGTGACCTTGTTGGAAATCAGGTTTTTGAAGATCTCCTGGAGAAAGGTGGACCCTAAACCGGTGTGACTGGTGTCCTCACTGAAAAGGAAGCACAGGGCAGCCAGCCGGCCATGTGAAGACAGAGGTAGAGACTGCAGGGGTGCAGCCCACGGAGGCCTGGGGCCACCAGAAGCTGCAAGTGACAGGAGAGGACACATTCTGTGGCTCTCAGCCACCCGGAGTGTGGCACTTTGTTAGGGCAACCCCAGAAAACAAATCCAAAATCCACACGGGTGGGGAAGGCAGAACCACTACCTGTCACCACCTCAAAGCCCACCACAGGTGCCAGGCGTGGTCTGAGCCCCTCACCACCTGGGCCACGCCCTCTGACTAGAACATCAGCTCCATGCAGGCAGGGGTCTGCATCGGCCCTGTCCTTGCGATACCACTGTGCTGAACACTGTGCTGAGCCTGGCGCAGTGTAAAAGCTCGACAGAGCCCTGCTGAGCAAACACCTGTGTGCTGCTGCTGAGGTAGAAGAGCCCTGGTGGCAAGGTGGTCACACAGTGGGCTGCTAACCGCAAGGTGAGCAGTTCGAAACCATGAGCTGCTCCCTGGGAGAAAGGCGGGACTTTCTACTCCCCTAAAGAGCTACGGTCTCAGAAACCCACAGGCACTTCTACCCTGCTCTCAGGGTCCCGATGAGTCGCCATCCACTTGATGGCAGTGAGTTTGGGCCTTTTTTGGCTGGCATGGCTGTGGGGTGACAGTAGCTATTAAAGAGGATGTGTGGGGGCTCAGGGAGTCTCAGGGGTGTGCACGCGAGGCCTCAGAGGTTACCTGCAGAGGTTCAAGCGCAGCTCTGCTGGTCTCAGCGGCCATGCGTGTGCACACACTCCTGACAATGACCCCTCACAGGCGACCAGCCTCTGAACTCCCAAAGCCCTCCACCTTCACCACCGTGTTAGTGTGTGGCAGAGCGCAGGCTGGGGGCCACACAGCTTGGGGTCGGCTCCCCCCTGACACGTGGGAGCTGTGTGTCCTTGGACTGCCCCATCTGCCTTACTTGCCTCCCCTGTAAGTTAGGGAAACGCAATCCCCAGGTGCCAGGCCCTATGTTGGTTCCACCCCTCATATTCAGGCCTGAAGACCTCCTGCCACCACCACCCCTGCCGCCCGCTGACACAGATTCTCAGGGCAGGTGAAATGTGAATCCCCATGATTGCTGCGATGAGCCGAAGCTCATTCCGAGGGTCTGACCAGTTTCAGGATGCCTCTCCTGGTCCACAGGCCCTTGGTCGCCTGCCCCAACACTAACTGCTAGGCTCACACGAGGAGGTCACTCATCCACCACGCCCCAGCTCCATTCTGGTGGGTGACACTGTCACTACCCAGATAGACGGGACACGGCGCTTCCAAAGGCTACGGGAAACGCAACCAGACAGTAACTGAACTAATAAGTCCCTGGGGGCATGAAAGAGGAGGGTGGGGGAAATGGGAGGTCAACACCAATGTGGATAAGAACGAAGAAATGTTCCCAAGTTGATCATGGTGATGGTTGTAAAGCCCTTCGTAACATGATAAACCACTGAATTGTATGATGTGTTCATTACGGGTCAATAAAACTAACGTTTAACCATCCTCCCACCCCACACACACAAGAGAGCCTGGCATTTTCCCATGGACACGAGGAAGCCCCTGGTATATCCCAAGATACAGTCCCTCCATAGCTCGCTCTCTCTCACACACACACTCCCCTCGGCCATATGTTTCCAGTTAGCATAACAGAGTCCCTGTGCCACAACCCCCCAGTGCCCGCCCGCCCCGCCCGCCCGCTTGCTAACCTATCCCAGCTTCCCTTGCATGCCACCTTCCCCTCCGTGTCTCAGGGGTCGGGAACTTGTTCCGGATAATGGAATCCAGCTGCAGGTGCCGGCAGAGCCTCCTCACCCGGCCCAGCTGCTCTGCCCCAGGCCCATCCACAGAGCCAGGAGGGCCCTAAGAGGGGCTGGGGACCCAACATCCCATGGAGGGTGCCTCCCTAGCCAGCCTGACGGAGGGAGCAGACCCTCGGGACCGGATTATAAATATTCTCATCGCCCATCCCCCACCCCCTGCACCAGCTCCTCGAGGTCAGGAAAGCACACCCTCCCAGGGCCACCGCCAGAGTCAGAGTCAGCTTGGCTCAAGGGCTTGCCACCCAGCCGGCCCCTGCTGGCTGCCTTCTTGACAGTCTTACAGAGGCCCGGCACTGGGCCCACTCACTGATCCTCCAGTCTGCTGGGCAGCCTGGACATGTCATCCTTACAGACGGGGACAGTATCACCCTCACTTCATAGGGGAGGCAACCAAGGGCCAGAGAGGTGAAGGAACTTGCTCGGGTCACCCAGCTGGCAGCTAGCAGAGCTGGGTGCCACCCGCAGGGGCCTGGTTGGGGAGTCTCCTAACCCTGAGATTGGCTCCCTCCTGGTCCACTACCTGGCCCTCTGTGTCGTGGGGAGTGAAGAGAACGTGAAACAGGCCCTTCTACCTTGCACCTCCATCCTTCACTGTGAGGTGAGCCGTTCCCGCCCTGCCTCTCCCCTGTCCCCAGCTCTCGGGGGTCCTGCAGCCTCTGCAGTGCGAAGAATGGCCTTGAGGGTGAACATTGGTCCTGGCACCGAGGTGCCCAGGTACGGGAGGCTAGCAGTCACTGCATCGGCTTTGGCGGCACCCAGAAGTGGGCCCAGTTCCCCACCTGACTGACACTCATGCACTGTTTGGGCCACAAAGATCCAACCAAAGAAAGTCAAGACAACAAGAAAAATACCACCTCAAATCTGACTCACAGAGACACTGCACAGGGTCTTTATGGAAGCCGACAGGCTCACGTTTCTTCCACAAAGCAGCCGGCAGGTTCAAACCGGCCAACCATGGAGTTAGCAGTCCAAAGCTGGCCTGCCCTCCACTTTCAGGAAAGCACCTGTGTCTCAGTGCCATCTTCCTGGCAGCAGGCACCTTTCAACGCACCCCATTCGCCTGCCGTCCCAGCACTGCTCCCGAGGCACCTGCCTGGACAGCCACCCAGCCACGTCGGTAGTGCTGGTCAATCCCCCATCAAGTCGGAGGGAGCTAGTGACCACCACCGCCGGGCCTGGCCCCCTGAACCCTTCTTCACTCTCAGGACATCCCATCGACTCTGGCTCACAGGGCCTCCACAGGACAGGGGGACCTGCTCGTGAGGTTCCAGGGTCAGACATCTTTCTGGGAGCAGATGCCCATCTTTCTCCCATGGGGAGGCCCGTCCTCTCTGCCCCAGGCCCATCCACAGAGCCAGGCGGGCTGCTGGCCTTGTGCAGTCGACCTGTGCACCGGCAGCCACGTGCTCCACCATCTGCGCCACCAGCACAGACCAGGTTCTCCTCCATCGCTTGCTTTACGTTCTGTGGGGATCTGGGGTGGCACATATGCACTTGCCATTGTTAGCTCGTCTCGATGAGCTGGTTCTTTTATCACTACACAATGTCCCTCTTTCTCTCCTATAACGGAGCTTAACATCTATTTTGGCCACTCCGAAAAGGAAGGTGGTGTCCCGAGGACGCGCTGATAGGCATGCAGCCATAGGTGTCTCAGATGCTAGGAAGAGAAGAGCACACGGGCCAATTCCCACTCAGGCAGGGCGGCCCTGGAGGACAGAGAGGAGCTGCCCCTGCGGGTGTCCGAGGAGCTGACAGAGGGCAGGAAGCCCCGAGCAGAGCAGAGACCAGAGATGAGGCAGGGCTGGGTCATGTGGGGCCTTTCCAGTACCCACCAGCAGCCTGGAAGCCCCTCATCGGGGCATCACCACCCCTGCGTGCCCATTGTACTGTCCAAGTAAACGGAAGCTCAGCAACAGCCTTGCCCAGAGTAATGGGCGGCTAATGATGGTTTTCAAAGACCTAGGCTGAGCTAGTGGAGGCACGGCATGCAAAGATGGATAAACGGTCCCCCGCAGAGCTGCGGAGGACAGACCCAGCTCCCAATCCTAGCAAGACTCTCTTGCTCTGTGCCTCAATGTTCCCATCTGTAAAATGGGAACCAAAATACTGTGTCAAGGAAATGGCAGCAGATCAACGAACATGCATCCACTCTGCCAGGCCTAGGCGAAGCTCACCTCCCTCTAGTCTCTGTACCCCTGGAGACCCGGGAGGACCTGTGTCCTGTTGCTTCTTCCTAGTGGCCTTTGGGCCGGCCACTTACCTGTTTGGGACACATCACCAAGTGCCCAGAATCTGCAGTCTCTCAGCTGAATTCCTCAACTAGCACTGTTGGCGTGTTAGGGTGGCGTCCATGCCGAGCCCACAGGCTCGTGGAACAATGGCCCTCACTTTCAATGTGAGGCAATGGTCCCAGGTGAGTGGCCCATGTGGTAATGACCAGCTCGGGCCAGAACCTGGTGCCGGCTCGGCTGTTTCTCCATGGCATTGATTTTCTGAGGGTGTTGGGCCAGGCTCCATGCCGGGGCTGCCTATGCCTTCGGCTCTGAAATAACTTGTCCTCTAAGGCTGGTCTCCATGAGGGTAGGTTTGGCAAACATACTTAAAAAAAAAAAAAGCCACTACAAAGCGCTAAGCACTATATAGAAATCCCTTATGGCGAGGAGTGCTAGAAGTGAAACGAACTTAATTAATTTTACTGCTGCTGCCATTTCCAGCTAGGAGGTGGCCCTGGCCTCTGGAGTTGTCCACATAAATGGCCTGGAAGGGGTGTGGGTGGAGAAGCGGGCAGGCTGAAAGGGTACCCCAGAGATGCTTCCAGAGGCAAGCTTGTTTGTGTGTGACTACGCTTCTGGGGAGAGGCCAGGGAGGGGACTCAAGATCCTACCACGCGCAGGGCAGTCCCCACAACAAAGAATGACAGAACTTTCTGATTGAGAAACTCTGGTCTACAGCATGCATTTTCACCCCTACCCCTAAAAAACAAACAAAAACTACCATGGTGGATTCTGACTCACTGTGACCCTTCAAGATGAGTCGAGTCCAGTAAGTCTCCTGGGGTTTCCAAGGTTGTAAATCCTTTTGGAAGCAGACCACATCATTTTTCCCCCTATGGAGAAGCTTGGTGGGTTGGCACTGCCCACCTTTTTGGTTAGCAACCAAGTACTTCCATGTATTCTCAACAGGGGTGAAAATTGGATACTGGGGGCGGG